CTTCTTTCGAATGATAGCTCACAAAATAGGTATGGTAGGTAAATCAATCAATGATGTTGCAATCAAATGTCAAATCCCAACCTTAGAATCAAGACGTCTATTTATTGATTTAACATTTATATACAAACTATTAAATAATAAAATTATCTGCCCAGAGCTACTGGAACAAATTTGTTTTAAAATACCAGCTTATAATACCCGATCTCAACAATTATTTTTTACTATTCTAGGGAAAAATAATTTCATTAAATATAGCCCATTAAACCGTATGTTAATGTCTTGTAATAATATTTCCAACTTTGATTTTTTTTATGATTGTCCTAACAAATTAAAATGTGTAATAACTAATAATACTCATTCTAACACAAATATTTAATGTTATATTCATAATAATTCATTACTTCTAATTTATATTATTTTTATACTTAATATCTAATTATTGTTCACCTTAATTTTATAAATGTATCACTGTATATTGTTAATTTTTTAAAATTGTATTTATATTATTATTTACTATCTGTACTATATTGCCCTTCGAGGGTGTTATCTTATAAATAAATAAATAAAATAAATAAATTACCCTTAAAAATTGAAAAAATTTCCCTCGTTCCCCGTAAATGGGGGAAACCTCCAAAAAAATTACAAATTTAAAAATCGCTAATTTTCGAAATTTTTTCAATTTTTTTTACTAAAAACTGCCGTAACTTCTTTAAAAATGACTAAATCTATATAACTTTTTTTATAAATGTCTTTACCTATCATTTGGTATATTTTTTTTTTATAAATCTGACCCTTTACCTTCCCACAGGGGGGGATTGAAAATGATAACTTTTTCACAAAACATTAACTTTTTCAACTTAACTTTTGAAAATGTTCCGGAAGGTCTGACACTTTTATATATATCTTAAATTAAAGCTAATGTAATATACTTTAATTTGAAAAAAAAAATTGACCTCTGGACTTGTCTTCACGGCGAAAATGGCTACGGAATGCTATTTTCGTGTGAAAATTCTTGATTTTATTTTTTATATTTTTAATTTTATAATGCTATAACTTATTGAAAAGTATATGGATCAACACAATTTTTTTATGAGAAATAATATTTTTTAATAATCCCTTTTTCATTCGACACACTTTATCTTAATCAAGATATTAATAAGGAACTAGCAGATCATGTAGCTTTTGGAGTATACACCAATTTTTTTAAAATTAAACACTATCTAAAGATTTGCATCGAAGCGTTTATTTTTGATAGTGATTTTAATTACTGTCAGATATCATTATACTTGATCCAACTATACCATGGCACCACTGTGCCGCGACCCCCCTGTGCTGGGTTTTTTTATTATGACGGAAATTTCGTTTATAACATTAATTCATAATGAATAACAAATTATTTTCTGAAAAGTTTCGTATCATACCAAGTAAGTTTGCCATAAAATAACTCCTTTATAAATTTTTATAAGTTCTCTGTGAAAATCGCAATACTAAATTATTAAATATCATTTTCATATTACTTTGAATTGATATAATAGACATTATTCATATATAATACTTATTAATTATAATTAGGAATAATGAAGTTATTTTGCTTTTAGAATAATCTACCAATTTCTTAAATTAAAACATTATCTTCAGATTTTCACCGAAGCGTTTATTATGATAGTAATTTTAATCACTGTCAGATATCATCTAAATTTGTTTCAACTATGCCACTTCCACACTGTGCAGTAATTACACTGCGCCGTTGTTTATTTTTACCATAGCGCTCGTATGAATTACTTTTTGTAATATAAAAATGATACGCATATAAATTAATCGTCTATATATTCAAAAATAAACTAATATTTGTTTTCTTTAACTAAAAACAGATTACTTGATTTTAAAATTAGCCAAAAGTTATTCTTCAATTATTTTACAGTTCTCTCATAATATAAAAATTCCATGTACGTCAAAAAGTATGTTTTAATAGCTATTTTTCTTCGGCACATCTATGTTAGAGATTTTTATTCATATTTTTTTATATTTTCTTCGAAATAGTTTTAATTAGTTATACATTGTTGTTAATTGGTTTAGCTAAAATCTATACGTGTGTGCAAATTGATATGGGAAATATTACACTTGATGTCGCAAAAGAACATATACATAACCACGAGACATTGTTACCTTTGAGAATACAAGATGGTAATGTGTATACTAATGCTGATATGTCAGTCGAAAACTTTGAAGAATACTACCTAAATGACGATATTGATAATCTTGTACCTTTGGATGAACCATATAAAGGTACAATGCCTCGCTTATCATACCATACACCTGTTGTCGGAAGAAACTTACGAGAAATTACAGAATATGCTATAACAGAATATAACGATCCATACGAAGCCATAATTTGGCTGAAAAATGTTATTGAAAGCATTGGAATTACAATATTAGTGCAATATAGTATAATCACAACAATCATGATAACAAATGTATTAAAACAACACGACAAATTTAGTGTTCATTTTAAAAAGGCCAAAACTTTTTTCAATTTTCTATTAGAAAAATTTAGAGATTATCGTTTGCGTAGAGAACCGATTGATCAGATAATTTTAATTTTTAATGAATATAACCAATCTCCAAAACTGGAAGAAAACAAACAAAAATTCATTAAACTTAGCAAGAGTTTTGCCGAGCGTTTTACTTACTGTACATATTTGGTAAAGATGCCAGTAATTACAATTATAGATAAAAAATTATTTTGTAGAAGCACTAATATAACTACATTAAAAGATTTTAATACAGCTATAACATATTGTAATAACAAACAGCTAGATAAATTCTATTCTTACGTAGAATTTACTGTAAAAATTTTAAAAGGTAAACATTAAAATACTTTATAGTATTTTAATGTTATATAGTGTCTTAAAATAAAACTCTATATAGAGTGTCCAGTAGTAAGGAAACGGGTTTTTATTGTTTCATTGCTTGTAACAATTGATCTATTTCCTTACTTACTTATACCCTATAAAGTGTGTTATTGTTCATAAGGAAATACTTACCAGTATGTTTGAAATTAATTTTTTTTTCATAAATAGATCCAGAAAATACTAGTGGATTAAAATTAAAAATATATTAAGCGTTAGGTTTATTAAATATTTTTAATGATAAAATTTTAAAAAATTATAAAAGAAAATAATAAGATTTATGAATATCTAAAAACTGAACTTTCACAGTTTTTTAATAATTCTAATAAATTTATTTTTTAATAAATTATTAGGATTTTTATAAATAGAAATATAAGTTTCTAATAAAGCTAAAAAGCCTAAAATAACTATCGTAAAGAAAAAAATTATGTTTAAAGCTTAAAAAATTATTGTTTTACTAATTTATTGACACTCTTAAATATAATATTTTTTACGTTTAAAACATATAAAAATTCTTACTGAATCAATACTCTTGAATTTTTATTAAAACATTTGTATTAAATAACCTACAACGCTTTTCTTATTTTCTAATTAAAAAATATGGTAATCTAATTTTTTACAATATTAATATTATTAAATAATAAGATATAATAATTATGATCAGGTTGATTTCATAAATAAATTAAAAACCATTCAAAAAGTTTTTTTTTATTTTGCACATTTAAATTATTCCAGTCTATAATTCTTACAAAGCATTGATTTAAATAGTCCTGTATACTCTTTTTAATAGATCATGTAACCACTTTCTAAACATCGATTTTTTTAATTATTATATATATTTTGTAAAACAAACTTTATATAAACCTTTTTTTATAAAAATGTTCTTAATGTACTTATTATATACATTTTTTTTTGGTCTAATTTTAAATGTATTTTTATCACTATATTAACTAAATTGATATGTTATTTGTATCCTACGGAATATTGAAATAAATATGTTTTAAAATAATAATTAACGATTTTTAACTAATTAGATCTATTGGACTAAAGAACTATTTAAATAAAAATAACTTTTAAATATGGTATTATAATATGTTTAAAATTGTATTTAACAAAATCTATAGTTTGATTTAAATCTTTAGAGCACTATTTCAAAAACTACACTCACTATTAAAATAATCACATCTCACTGTAATTTGTAACCTATTCATTTAGCTAATTCTATGAAATTAAAAAAACATATTCTAGTAACACATAATATTTTTATACCATCACTAAACTTGTATCTAATTAGAAAAAAATGTAACTTTGGAATATTTTTTAGCTTTAATGCAAAGCTAAGAAAGTATTAAGTTTAACTATGATGTATTTTCTTTTACGTCGAAATAGTGATTTCCACCATTTACGATGAACGAGGGAAAAATTATCAATTTTTAAGGGCAACGTCTTCAACTAATACGATTTGTGATTTTTTGACGTATCGGTGAAAGAAATCGGTCCGGTGAGAGCTGAGAAGAAGTAGCAACAGACATGAAAAAAAATCACATCATAATAAAATTAATACCTTCTCAGCTTCGCATCGAAGCTAAAAATGTATTTAACAAAAAATACCAAAAATTAACGTTAATTTGTTATTAAATAAAATAAAAAATTAAGTTATGTAAAATCGAATTACCTCTGTTAATGTAAAAAGTTAACTTGATTTTAACTTATTTACTAGTTTATGCCTAGCCTTGATAATTAAAAAGTTTTTATTATTGCATAACCGAAAACAAAAATATTGTGTGCTTAAAAGACATAATTTTTTTATGGGGTAGTATCAAATATTTAAACATTGTTTAAATAAATTGGATAATGATTACAGCTTTAATGCATAAAATTAATACCATAATATATTTATTCAAAAATAATATTTAGTGAAGTATAACCATTCTCATCAAGTCTAACAAAGGTATGCGGTTTTGCGGTTATGTATATTACAGTTAACACGAATTTCTTTAATATATATCAATATGTAACTTGAACAGAAATATTAACCGCATAATTTCTACTAAAATCGTTGAGCGTATTGCCTAAAAAATGATTTTACTAATCGCTTCCTATGTTTATGATAATCTTCAATGACTTAAGTTTTACTAGTTGTTTTCTTTTTTTAATATTGTAAAATTTACGAATAATTATACAATTTTACAAGGAAGTATAATAAATCACTGGTGTTACGAAATAATGCAATTTGGAAAAATTTATAATAAAAGCTAAAAGTAACTTTTTCATAAGATAGTAAATAGTATTAACCAGAAAAATGTTGTTTGGTACATTTTGTTCACTCTTACATCATCTTACTTTATAACAACATTTTACTTTAAAAGTTTCCTTATATTAAATATTGTTAACAATATTTTAGTACTGAACTTTGTATATTAGACATCCTATTAGTATAATAATAATTTTTTTAGCAAATGGAATATCCGGTCAACACACCTAATTATTAAAAGAATTATTCGACAAAAATTAGTTATTTTTTATTAAATAACCGCTTAAACAAAGAGATAAAATTTGTGTATCTGCTACTATTGAACTACACGCGCAATATATAAATATTTTCTAAAACTACGAGTTTTTCAAATTTTTGGGCATCAAAACTTTTGTATATAATAAAAAATCTAACATGATAGACTTAAAAAAAATTAACTTTAATTAGCTCATTGTATTTATTATTTTACATTGAATTTAGATACCTGTTCTAACTTGTTAGTTTGTATATTTTACTAAATAGACATTTTTGAGAAATATCCTTATTAATTGCCGTGTATTCTGATCACACTAATTACACATATAATTAGAGCGCTTTGTTGGACAGAACATTGATGCTTTATAAGTGAAGACTATGGTGTTAGTAAATTTGAGGCTATTTGTTTGCATTATCACATGAAAAGATTTTATTTTTAGCTTCGATGAGAAACTGGAAAAAAGGTATTAATTTTACTATGATGTGATCTTTTTTACGTCTGTTGCCACGTTTCTTAGTTCTCACCGAATCAATTTCTTTCAACCATACATCGAAATATCACAAATCGTATCTAGTTGAAGACATGGTTCTTAAAAACTAAAAAATTTTCCTCGTTCCTTATAAATGGAGGATATGCCAAAAAAAAAAAAATACAATTTTAAACATCGGTAAATTCTGACATTTTTAATTTTTTTTTTCTTAACATGCCTAACTTTTGAAAAATGAACGTACTAAAATAATTTTCTTTATATAAAAATCATAGGCATTTCCCTTTCAGTAATATAAATGTTTTAAACTTGACCCTTTACCTACTCATAGGGACGAATTCAAAATAGTAACATTTTCACAATAGTCAATTTTTTTCGCTTAACTTTTAACAATGTTTCGGAAATACTGCATCTTTTAAAAATATGTTAAATTAAATCATATGTTACGTACTATAAATTAAAAAAAAATTTGTCCCAAAGACTTATCTTTTACGTACATATGGCTGCCGTAATTAAAAACATGCTATTTTTTGTGTTAAAATATTAGATTTTATATTTTAACTTTAAATAGCTATAACTTTTTGAAAATGTATAGATTAACACAAATTTTTGTTTCTATATACTTTATATATACCTCTTTCATTCGACATACATTTTTTTAATCGGACAATTTTCCTTTAAACAGGGGAGTTTGAAACTTGAAAAATACATATAAAAAGTAGTAGTTTTTCAACTTTTGAAATTATTTCGGAAATTCTGAGTCTTTTAAATATATGTTAAATTAAATTTTATGTTATGTGCTATATGTTAAAAAAATAAAATCTTTCTATCTTCTATGTGCAAATGGCTGTCGAAGTAGGACAAATTTATTCATATATTACACCTATATATCATAAAACTTGTAATCAAGATATAAATAAAAAAATAGGAGTTTATTTTGCTCTTGGTAAAATTCATCAATGTCTGAAAATTATACAGGATGTTCAGTAAGTCAGGAAACAGGTTTCTATTGTTCTCATTGTTTGTAACAATGAGAACAATAGAAACCCGTTTCCTGACTTACTGAACACCCTGTATATTATAGATTTCCATCAAAGCGTTTCTTATAATAGTGATTTTAATCACTGTCAGATATCATTTATACTTATCCTAACTTTGACACGTCCACACTGTTTAAGTATAAATACGCTTACAACAACAAAACTTTCGAACTTTTCAATCGATGACTAATTACAATATTGTCACACCGTTTTATTAGACGCCTGCGAAAATCATACTCGTATAATATAATAAATTATAGATACATATCAACTTCTATTTTAATAAAATTTTATATAAAATGATTATTAATTGTACAATTTCTTGAAAAAATATTATCATTGCATATTATTGTCCCCATACGCAAAATCACGTATCCCAATTTTTTAAGATTATTCAATAGAAATAAAAGAATACACTATTTTTGTATAGAAACAATAGAAATGGGTGTTTTAAACCTACATTATCCCAAGAAATAAGAGAAATCATTTAATTCAAAAAACTCTTAAGATGTGTATCACATAATAAATATATATATATATTCCTTAAAAATAAATCTCAAATTTTGCCACGGTGTCCGTCATATGACTTAATTTCTGCTAAGATATAGAAAAATAAACAAATTTCATGTTAAAAAAATTGTAAAGAAAAAATTTAACCTCTCAAAAATTATCATCACCCCGTAAATATGATATTTTTGTAAGCCTACTAGTACTTAAATAACATAATTAGTGAAGTTAATGAGATTTTTTCGGTATAACTTTAATAACTTAATTTATTAAAAAAATAGTTCTACAGAGATATAATTACAAGAAATAATATGTCCTTATAGAATGTTTAAAACGTGTTTAAAAATTATTCGCGTCAGCACAAAAAGTCTTATAGGTATTTAATGATCAATTGGAATGGTGATTAATTTTTAAAAATCAAATCCAAAAATTAACTTAATAATTATTATAAAATATACTTTAGAAAATTCCATAAACTTTTTTCACCAGTTTCTGTTATTTGGATTAGTTAGTGTGTGCTGATTACTAATATATCGTGAAAGCTGTAATTCTCAAAGTGTAGATCAAGATTTACATGCAATGCATTCTTGAATTCTTTATTGTTTGTCTACTTGAATCTGGTCTAGACATCAATTGTTAAACATTTATATAACAGTATGAATTTAAATCCTGCGACACCATCTACTCAAATTACCTTACAAGTTTTATATATCTTAGTAGTCTATTAAAACAAATAGTTAATAAAAAGTAATTGTGATCTTCTGATATACCAGAAATTTGACAGGCTGATATCGAAGCACTTTTTATGATAACGATGTTAATCATTATCAATAAAAATTAAATTTGTACCAACTATGCCGCGATTCTATTGTGATAAGTTTTTATTATATTGTAACTTAGTGATGAAGTAATTAAAAATTAGTAGTTACCCATAATTTCTTAACATTCCAAGTTTACTTTATATAACAAACTTATGCATAGTGAGTTATAATGGTATATGAAATGAAATGTCCCAAATCAAATAATATTGTTAGGGCTTTCTTAATTGTAGCTGTAAAGCTCATATATGTACATATGTAAATGTATAAATGCATTATGTATATTTTTTATTTTTAAATCTATATACAAGACTTATTTTATAATATTTAAATTGTTCCAGTAAAAGGTGTGCCAAGTATTTGGGTAATAATATACAACATAAGGCAAATCAATATAAATAGCTATTAAAGGTTTTCGTAATGTAATGAATTATGACCTGTTCTTCTTTATTAACATTTATCCGCCTAGGTTTAAAGATTTTAAATTTATTTTTTGTGAAATGAGAAGTAGTCACTTTTATCGCTATGAAAATTATAATTTATCCCGATCAAAGACTTAGAATAACTCAGTAAGTAATAACTCAGTTACTATTGTTTCATCGTTCATAACTTTTAGAACGCTTGTATGTAATTATATTGAACATTTTTATTTCAGTTTTATTATTAAATATTTTAAATGAAATTAATATATTCAGATCATTACAATTAATTACTCAGTTTAAAAAAACTGTAAATAATATTCATCAAATAAAGGAACCATGGATGATGTAATTCATCAGCGGGTGTACCATTATTGTTGTTTCAGGTAAGTAATAAAGTTTTTGCGTTCATTTGCCCCATTTTTGAAAAAATCCCATCCTTTGACACTTGCAATTACCACCCCATAAATTACATCTACATGATCCATTGTTGCAACAACTTTTTCGTCGATGATCACAATTTCCACCTCTAGGAACGCATGATTTAAGATATTTGAAAACTGATGGTTTCCTAAATGTAATAATAAACAAAAGCTTCTTATTTAATTGGTTATTTGAAGAATTTAATATTAATTTAATTAATTTTAGAATTGTACAATTGAAAAAAAATATTTTACGTGAGATAATTTTTATATTATGGAAAATATTATAACAAAAATTGACTAAGTGAGTTTATAGTTACCTTTTTTGTAATGAGGGATAAAACGCTAAGTCATCATCGTATCCTATTTCCTTTGCAAGGTAATCGCCTACTACATACATAAACTCATCATTGTCAGGAACTAAAAATGTATATATTTATATAATTTTGTTATTATATAATTTATAAAAATTAATTCTACTTATATNACCCCACTCTGCCGCCACCCCACTGTGCTGGGTATTTTTATTAATATTTTCAACATAAATCTCTACAGATCAATATTATTGTTAATTCTATTATTAATTATTATTATTCATTAGATTGGATTAATTAATATTGTTTTATACGATTGATAAAAATTTTAAATTTAAATGTCTTACCTTCTATAATGTTGTCAGAATAATCGTTTAAAGGAGATGCCATCAATAAATTATTGAGTAGTAAAAGAGAAGCGTTTATCAACACTATTATGACTTTCCACAACTTCATATCACCAATTAATTGTAGTGAAATTCTAATAAAATCATACGAGGAAAGTTATTTGTTACTTCATAATGATGTAAATATTATTAAATATTATTATATAAAAATAAATTATAAATATTAATTTCTATGTTTCAAATTTTATAAAGTCAATAAATATGTGTTCATATTAGTATTCAATTAAATTCTCTTATAGGTCAATAATTCCTAATATAACATATTGTGTCATACAAAATTAAGTTAAAAATAAATGAAATAAATTTGCAAATAATATAATAGAACTTTCATAAAAGTTTTAAACGATTTTCTCAAAAATGTATTATTGAAATTTGATAACTTGGTGTACCTAGCATTGGCTTCTTCGGAATTAATTATTAAACCCTTATAAAAAAATTTTTTATAAGTTAAGCTATATAAATGAACCATCATTAAAGCGATACAAAATTTTAAAAGTTATAGCTTTCTTTTTTATATTTTTAAATTCAAATTTAGTTTATGTACTGAATTAAAATGAATATATTTTTAACTGACAAATAACTGTTTAGATTACAAAAATGTGTCAAATAAGAAATAAGAAATGATTTATTTAGTGACATATTAGGATGGGATTATTATTAATTAAGAGCATCAGAATAATTTAGCTCATGGTCGTTGAAAAACTAAATACGTCATTGGAAATAAATAGTAGATTTTACTTTCGATGTCCAATTTGAGGAAAAAATAATTTGTTTTATGTTTTTTAATCTAATTATTCAAAAACACTGATCCAGGCATTTAAAATCAAAATGTACATAACAATTTAATACTATTTTGTCTATATTTTCTCAAATGGAAATTCAGAGTCAAATTACATATTCTTAATTTGGTCCGTCTCGTTGTGAAATTTTAAAAAAGAAGATACTAAGTATCAGTAAATATACTGTATCCGTGAAAAAACTAAAAATATTTATAACATAAAATTATAAGAAAATAAAGTGCATAATATTATGACTAAGTACTTAAATGACAAATTAATGTGCATCGAACGTGTAAAAGTATCTAATCATATTTATGACAATAACATGCAATATATAATATATTCCTATTATTATCGCCAGCGTTTAACTACATATTACTCAATGAATAACTAAAGGTAGTATAAAATAAAATCCACTCACTCCACATAATAATATTTTATTTTATTTTATAGTTCTAATTCAATAAAAAAAAATTGGGAGGCGTACCCTATTCTTACACCCTGATTACGCGTCTGGTATTATCTGTAACTTGTCTTCAAAGAGGCTGAGGACTTGATAACCATTTGAAAAACAACCAATTTTTGTATTTAATGTTTATTAACAGGAAAAGTATACCGTCCTTTTCGGAATATAAGTATTTCGTTATTTACACAAGAGAACATTAAAAATTAATTTAAACAAATAAAAATGTATTAATTATCTGATAAACAGTATAAAAAGTGTTAAGTAATTTTCTTCTTTATTATTATCTTTTTAATGATAATTAAAAATATTATTTCGCAAAATACATTTAAAAAAATACTTACCTAATTGATTTTAATCAGTCGTAGAGTTTACAAATATGTACTTGATGCACAATGTTTCAAGTGTCTTAACAGTGGAGATTCATCCTTTATATATAAGTTTTGGAAGGTAATATAGTAAAGGGTGGTAAAATCTCCCGACAGCTCTACATGGACTTGAGCGCAGACTCTCTTTAGTAAATAAGATAAGAACAACTTTTAGTACCCAGTCAAGAGGGATAACTGAATTACATGAATCTTAAATATTAATTTTATTTAACGTCAAAGTTAAAAGTCATGACTTTATATTTTATTTTAATTTCAAAAAATTTACAGTACTGAAGATTCGTTAGTAACTTATAAAGATTTCCTATAGACAATGCTGTTAAAATCAAATTTACCTTAGTATAACTGTCACTCATTTCTAATTTTTGGCTCATAGAGTACAGTTGTAAAATACACCCAATTCGATTTAAAATCAATTTTAGGATCCGTTATTGATTTCAAAAATGTTTTTTGGATGATACTAGATTAATTTAATGCATTATATGGAATAAAACTAATTTTATGAGAGTAAAATACTTTCATAAAAAAATTATGTTTCTAAACTTATTGGACCCCTGATTTATTTATATAAAACCGTATAAATAATAGAGACTCGATTTGATTTACTATTTCATGACTTTTTTATTGTTTTATTTTCTATTAATTTAACTCATATATTGATTGAAAATAAGTTTAAAATAATAACTTATGCTTAAATTTAAAAATTAGGATTTGATATAATTGTTAAATATTTAAAACTTAATGAATTTTAGTATTATTATATCTTGTAGTATTATCTTCATATTTAACTACAATTAAAAAGTTTTAGTATTTTTTATAATAATTAGTCATTCATATTATTTTTATTGTATTAAGTTTTAAAATCATTTTTTTATTAATTAGTAGAAAAAATTTTTGTAGGTATATCTTTGTATATCTTTACCCCTTGTAGTTTTATAAAACAAGCAACTAAATAATCATATATATGATTACTTTTTGTCAGTAATATTTAGGTGCTTACTTCATTACGATTATATTCAATTTTTGAAAATTTGATGACCATAATGTTTTAAACAAAATATTTTATTCATATTTTCCTATAATGATTTATACCTTAGTAAATTATTACATTATAATATTTTCATTAGGAAATATGATAACTAAATGTTCTAGTATAAATATATCATAAAATTGTTGTTTTTTTAATTTTATTAAATAAATTGTAGTAAAACTTTTACAATATTAGTAAAAACCAATTTAAAAACTAACATTTATACAATACAAATTCATAAAATTATTAAAATATCAGTATCAGCAAGTCACACCAATAGTATAATTACGGTTTCGATATTATATAGGTGTCCTACGAGATTTGACAAATCTATATACTTTCTTAATGGAGATTTGTCAAAATCTCGTGGACAATCTGTATCGAAGGGTTAAAAATCATGAAAAGGGATTGGTAGTTTTACTACGGACGTCTCCGTCACGTGTATACATAGGGTAAATCATAAATCATGATAATATTATTTTGTGTATGTTATAACTGCCTTTAGAAATATAATTATTTGTAATCAAGACTACCCTTTAACAGCCTTTAAGTTTGAAATATTGGGCTGTTGAGTCTGATACTCCGTCAGAGAACAGCCAGGAAACTCGTTTTGACGTTAAAAGTTTATTATCTAATTACGTGTACGTACTAGTGACGTCTGCAAAGCTCAGCAGGCCTATTAAAAAATGTACAAATTTAATGTTTGATATATGTCAATAAAATAAAAATTATTTTTAATGATTTTATTATATCAATTTTAAATATAATAAGGTACCATATCGTATATATATATATAAACGTTCCTATTAAAAGATGGCCCTATGAATTGATAAATAAAGAAAAGAAGGGCGTGGTCATTATAGTGTCGTAATATATTCGTCACTACCTTCTTCTTCTGCAGTATTAAAACCATGTTTCTCTATCCTTCCTCTTCAACTTTTGGTAAGAATTACGTCCTTGACCTTTTATTATCTGACTTATGTATTGCAATCTTGGTCTTCCTCCATTATTTTTCCATCGATTATTTCTTCTTAGATTAATAATAGCAATCCACCGTGTCTTAAAGTATGACCTATTAATTAATTTCGTCTTTTCTGTTTACTCTTCCATAATTTCCTCTCAGATATCCTTTCTAAAACTTCTTCATTAGTAATTCTATCAGTTCAACTTATCTTTTCCAGCATCCAGTAGCACCACATTTCTAATGCCTCTATTTTTCTCATTTCTTCTCTTGCAATAGTCATTGTTTCACATTTATATAACTTGATTCTCCAGATGTACGTTTTTAATAGATTCTTTCTAATATTAAGGTCAATGTTTTTTTAAGTAAAAAGACTTCTTTTCTTATTAAAGGTCACACGATTCAGTCATAAATCTATTATTATACACTTTTAATAATAACACTTTTTATCGAGAAGAAATTTATAAATTATATTTGTTATTTTTTTTCTTGTCTTAATAATTAAACGTATTATGGTAACCTTAATCTCAAATGCAAAAAACAATAATAATGTTATATAAAATGTCAAAATTATTTGTATACTATTCATCTTTAATAATTTATATATTTTATGCTTACTTATTTATAAACCATAACATTGTAAGAATGAGACAATGATGATTTTTGGGGATACAAAATATTAAAAAAAACTGTGAAAACTCTTATAGTCTGGTATGTTCTAATTGCGTACTCAAAATCGCTACATAAAAATTGTAATCATCATTGTCGGTATTCTTACGTGTTAAATCTTTATACCGCTGATTGGGCTTATAACATTGATACAGTAAACACTTTTGGAATTCACGTCCACTTGCCATTATATTAATGTCATAATACAAATTTTATTTACTTCATTAGTAGTTAACTTAAAATTTGGTGTTCAAGTTGCCTCAATTTCACAATTACACTTAATAGAACAAAACGTTTCAACTAATAAGCAAATTCCTATACAAATTAAAGATATTAATAATATTTTTGATTTGGTCAATCTAACTAAAATTAACAATCGCTTTTCTAGAAAACAAATTGATTTATAAATTATTGATACCTATATGCGACAAAGTTAAGTATAAATTATTTTAAACAATTCTTTTACCCATTTATATCGCTTAACATCAATATTTGTTTTAATCCAAACAACGTATCAATTTAAAGCCATTTTCACCGATAATGTCTTCATTCTATTTTCAGGAAAAGATCTGGCGATTTTTATATTAATAAATTTCTCACCATTTGAGAATTTCCAATTCTCCAATATTAGGTTATAAAACCGAAAATTCCTAATGAACTGTGAGACACTTATTTATCTTACTCCTGAAATATGTAATATCAAACACATTTCTTCAAAATTCGAAAACATTTTTAAATTACAGGCACATAACGCGTGGATTTATATGACACCCGATTCCATTAAAATAACTATAATATGTAGCAAAAAATACGGAAAAGAACAGGTATTTCATCGCTAAACGCAGGGTGTCTAGTTCATACACCAAACAACATTTTACCCACTGTAGCGTTACGATACAGCTTTATTGCCGTTTTTCAGTTGCAAGAAAGTCCGTCGGACAGCGTTGTTTGTTAACTTTCATTCAAAAGAATATAATATAATGTACTTTTTATTTTATAAGATAGATAGTAATGCTCGTAAACCTTTTTATGTAACATATCAGTCCTAACGGGGACTCGAAATTTAAATAAGATATAAAAATACACATTTATTTATTACAAAATATTAAAAAATAAAATTATCAGTTAACAATTAATCTACGCTACATCCTCTACGCTCACATCAGCTGTCCTCATATCGCATTCAATAGCTCTGAGACGAGCTAGATAGAAGCATCCGTCAACGGGAAATAACCAACAATGCAACTCTACCTCAAACATTGCGTGAAAAATGGGCCTAAATTTCTCTTTCCACAATTGAAAAGCTGATTGAGTTCATGCTAGCATAATGTCAAGTAGTCATCAGGTCTAAGAACAACGATACCAAATATTAAACTTTCAGTCACTATCTTCTGTGTTTTTGCTTTTTTTTTGTTAATTATTTTTTAAGAAAATAATTATTTTTGTCAAAATAATAATGAGCGCGGTTAACTCCATTAAAGCTAATTTCCTATGTTTATACTAACGTTTTTGTTTCTTCTTGCTTTTTTCACGTTTAGTCACAATTTAGTGTCATAAGACGTATTGCTCTAGGATTGCCATTCGTCCCGGTTTTGTTGGTACACTACCGGTTTTTAAGCAAGTGTCCCGAGAAAGTGTTCGGGACAATAATTTGTCCTGTTTTTGAAATTTTACTTAATAAAATAGCGATTTTCGATTTGGAAAAAAAATTTAGGTCTTACACATTATAAAAAGCATGATTGTTTTGCGATAATCATAGTGTCGCGGTCGCATCGCATTTTCGGTGTTACCGCCGGATGGCGATCGCGGCGCCATCTTCCTCTTCAAGTCCGACAAGTCGCGCTATGCGGGGTGGCTGACGGGTGGTGCGAACCAGTCGCTCGGGTGCTGGACAAAAAAAATGATATAGACTGATTGTAATTTTCCAATTATCGTTTGAACTGTCACGTTGAACCATTTTGTTAAGCAACGGAAGATATTCCAAAATATTGTCTTTTATTGAAAATAATATTAATACTGTTGTTAATAAAAATACCTAGTGTTTACTGATAAATTGTTACATTTATTACCCTAATTACATAAATAGGTACTTTATTTTTAGACATTTTATGCATACGGGGCAAACCAAAAATTTACTATCGCGATAACGGATAATCATAATCTTAATAGTTTTTATAAAAACCACTGTGTTATTACGATAATAATCAATATTACTTGTAGTATAGCAGTTGACTTCTACAGTTTGGTGTCGTTGTAATCGTCAGATTATTCTAAAAATTTTATATTTTCTACTGTTTTTCTCGTGACGATTTTTTTATTTACATTTATCGTGTCACCAACTCGGTGTGGAAAACGACTTTGTAGATTTACAGTAAAATTACAAATTGAATTTAC